GAACGGAGGCGCTAGGTACCTTTTCTCTGGGTCCTTTTGCAGACACGATGAGATCATCTTCCGAAAAGACTTCCCATACTTTTTCAACATCTCTTTATCTTGCACACCTGTCTCCAGCGAGGGCGGGTCATTTTGTAACGTCAACATTAAGACCTGGAAAATTTACATGCATTAAAAACAGAGACATCAAGACATCTCTCTCAATGTCTGATCAAGAGCCATCATTTTCAGCAGAAAAAAAAAACCCCAGCAATGTAGATGTTATGGCCTTGGTTAGGGAAAGTAAAATTCCCCTTAAGCACAGTATGCCAGTTGAAACCCACCACAGATTCCTGAGTTAGCTATTTATTTATTTATTTATTACATTTATAACCTACACCATCTGGCAGCCACACCACTCTGGGCGGCTAACGACGACAAGACAAACAACGCAATATTAAAACACAACAATAATAAAATAATACAAACATTCAACAGACACAATAACTAGTAGGGATCAATTAAAACAGATGGCTATAAAGATGGTAGAAAGGATGATGAAAGGATGGCAAAATGATAAAAGACAAGCAGAGATATCGGGAAACTTCATGCTCAGGGAAAGCCTGACGTCAGAGCCAACTCTTCAGTGCTCGTTTAAACCTGCCCAACGAGGGTGCCAGGCGTTATCTCCATGGGCAGATTGTTCCACGATGAAGTATCGAGTAGAATTGAAGGGAGGTAGTAAAGTGGGCAACTGCCTAAACAGCTCCGTGAGTTGGGTGCCTAGCTGTGGAGCCAGGAGTCAAGAGTTTGATTCCTGGCTCTTCTCCTGGGAGAAGAGCCAGCCACGTGTGCCTGAACAAGTGGAACTACCTTAGAGTAAATCATTTCTGAATTGTCTATACCTAGAAAACTCTGGAAAGGGTTGCCATAAATCAGAATCAGCTTGACAGCATGTAATAAACAAATAAAAGGGGAATGGGAAAGCCATGTTCCCCGCCAACCCCATCCTGAAGCCGAAGGCTCCTAAATGCTGTGATGCACAGCCCACCCTTTAAACTACATTCTGCGTCTTTCACACATTCCAGAAGCCATCTCAGTCTCCAGTAAGAAAGAATTTTATTCTAACTCATCCATTTTTAAAAAATGCAGAAGGGAAGGGGTGATGATGTATTACGTGTCCAGAAATGAGGCATCAGAGTGAAAAGAAGATCCTTAACCCACCTGTTTTCTAAACCTGCACTGATTTACCTGTTGAACAATGCTGTCTATATGTTGTTATAAAGGAAGGGGAGGGTGAACGCTAACTGTATTCCCCATGGCCTACTGTGACCACTTTACAGGTTTTTCCGGGACAATTCTCACCTGCTCCCTAGTTTTAAGCTGAGAACTTTCCCTCTAGCATAACTAATTAGTTGCACGCTGGCTTCAGAAGAGGAGATAAATGGATACAGGATCTTATTTCCAGTTCGACGATTCAGCTCTGACCATTGAACACAACACTATCTCACCTCCTCCCGTGTGCCTCTACCGACCCATCCATGCCGGAAAAATCAGGCACAAACTGGTAAACACAACAGGTGGCTATGGATTGTATGTTAAGGGGGGAAAAAACAAGAAGGGCTTTCCATACAGTTGACAGTTCAGTCCAGCTTACATCACAGCTAGCTAACAGGTCCAGAGGTTAAAGATAATAATAGCTGGAGCCCTAGCATCATCAGTAGGGCTATTGTTCCCCTAGTGGTCAGGCCCCCTAAATCTGCTTTGCTTTCGCTCCCCACAGGTAACTCAGCATTCCATAGCGCCAAAGCACAGAAAAAAGGAATCTAGAAAGGTTCAGACTCAAATTACCTTGGGCACTATGTTACGCTTTTTTCGACCTAGGTTTGGTTTTCAAATGCAAAATACATACAAAATTTTTTTAAAGCCTTTGTTTGGAAAATTGTAGAATGCCAGCTTAGCCAAGTTAACTCTTCAGTGCCACTAACCCGAAAAATGGCATGAAGGTCATTTGAGGAACGCTCTCGTTATGGCAACTGGATTTCATTTTTAATGGAATACAAGACAGAACGTCTTTTTGGAACACTCTGCCTGCTTAGGCTGGCCAAGGGCCTGATCTGGTTGGGCAGAAGAAAAACGTTCCAACAGAGGAGAGAATTCATTTCCTGCTCTCACCTCGTTTTAATTTGAATAGTTTTTACATTTTTAATCTTGAATTGACTTGCGTTGCATTTTACGAACACTACCCGTTTTAGGGATTTGTAGGTCACGAAAGCAAAGGAAAAACTGGCTGAAATCCTGTTGCGCACTTACACAAATGGCATAATTTGTGGACACATATTGCCACAAGTTATGAAATCTCTGAAAATAGCATCTGCAACATATGGAGTTGTATAACTTGGCTTGCCATAGAGGATACCTACAGAGATTTCCTAAATCGCATCATTTCATGCTTTAAAGTTAACACGATTTGCAGAACTGCGCAACAGGATTCCGGTCACTGAAATATTAATGTATAAAATAACGCCAACATCGAGACCATGCACTGTGAGAAATGTGAGAATTTGCAGAAATTGGGGGAAATGAAAGAACAAAGCAAGAAGTGAATGAGACGTCCAGGAAGAAAGATACAGAAGGACCCAGCTACTGCACACCTCAAGAGTAAATGTTGCAACAGGAGATACAGATAGGTGGGTGAATCTTCCAGAGGAACTATCACATCACCTGCCGCACAGTCTTTGCATACAGAAATCTTAGGCTAGTGTCTAGGGAACATCAGAGTTTCTGCAACAGAGTTTGGGGACTTCTGTTTCAGTGAATATATAAGTTCTGCTTTTCCATTTAGATATTACACTTTCATTTTTTTGGTTCCAATCTTCTTTTGGAATTTCCTTTAGAAATCATGCTTGCAAGAAAACCTTTCTCCCATTTACTCTGGGCACCTAAGGAAAAGACAGGATTCTCTGGAAACAGACAATCATGCTTGGAAAGGTGGAAGGCAGCAGGAAAAGAGGAATATCCCATACAAGATGGACTAACTCCCTAACAGGAGCCACAGGCTTGAGCTTACAAGAGCTGAACAGGGCAGTTGAAGATGGGACATTGTGGAGATTATTTCAACTGGCCTATCAGTAACTCACCTTCATGGGTGGATATTTGTGGTAAGGAGCTGCCCCTGTGGCTAATTCAATGGCTGTAATTCCAAAACTCCAGATGTCTGCCTTGAAATCATAGCCCCTGACCTAGGAAAACAACAGATGCATTAACGGCACATTTCTCTTTAATTATTCTCCATCTCAAGTTGTCCATCTCCAGAAATGTCTAGCATCCTCCAAGTTAGCAACTACTCTCACAAATGCACAGGGTAGCCAGGGACTTTGCTAGAAAATTCTTTTCCTAATGTACACAGAAACAGTCCAGCTGCCAAGAAAGCCATTTCTTCTCCGGCACTCAAATGATCACCTGGAATTTTTAAAAAGCCCTTTTATTTTCACTCTCAACTGCGAAGAAACAACACTGTGGATTCTCGTTAATGCAAATTAAGTGTTTCAGCCAACAGAAAATTAATATATGTGCAAATGCAACAGGTGTCTCTTGATTCACCAGCTCAAAGGTTACTCTGGGAGTAAGAAGCAATAATTTATCTTTGGCTTCACATAGTACTGCACAGCTGGGTGAAAAACTATCTGAAAACAAAGAAAATTTCTCAGATCTTTCTAAAGAAATATTATTGCAGCATTTCCGACGTGCTACATGGTTTACATTCTTTATTGGTTTTATCCATTCAACAGCATGCAGGTCAGTCCTATTCTCATTCTACACGTGGAAAGCAGAGGCAAAGAGATGAATTATTTTTTTCTTCTATCGTCATATTCTAAAAAAAAGATGTAACAGGTCTTTCAGGTACATCAAAGGCCTGATTAATATAAAACACTGATAGCAAACATAATGAGGAGGAATGAGGCAAATATGTTGTACAAATGTTTACCGAGCAGGGATCCCTGCCAGAGATGAAGAATGAGTGGCTTGCTACAAGTGCATACATTAGCACTGTAAACCCCAGGTTGTTGCCACACACACTTTGAGAACTGCGCATGCGCTGAACTGGGGGCTATGACCCATGCTTTTCAAAATGCAGAAAAGTCTTAGACTAATACTGAATGCTTCTGCCAGCTGCTCCACCATGTGAAACATCCTGAGAAGCATTTATGATTACTCCTCAATATATTTTATCTACTGCCAATTTCAAGATGCCGTTGTTCCTCTTGAAGTCTTATTTTGTCAAATCTATTCATTTGCCTATGCCACCACACCAGAAACTAAAACAATAGGAATCATATATAAAATTAAATCTATATACAGTAGGAAAATCCCCCCATAGCCACAGGCATCAGTTCAAAGGCCCCCCCGGATGCTGAAAAACGTGGATTATAGCAAATTTGACCTAACTCCGGGAGGCAGTGGAAGATAGGAGGGCCTGGCGTGCTCTGATCCATGGGGTCATGAAGAGTCGGGCACAACTAAACAACATAGCAAATGCTATTACTATAATAACAGACGCTATACAGTGGACCCTTGACTTACAGACGGCTTGACTTACAGACTTTTTGAGTTACAGACTCCTCTGGCCGCAAAATTTAGGTTTGACTTGCAGCCTGAGAATTGACTTACAGACCAGAAAAAAACCAAAATGGAACAGAAACGGCCTGTTACGGGATTAATCGGTTTTCAATGCACTGTAGGTCAATGGAGACTTGACCTACAGACTTTTTGACCTGCAGCCACCGTTCCAATACAGATTAATTCCGTAAGTCAAGGGTCCACTGTACAGTACATAGTGTGGTCTCTGGCTCCCTCTAGTGGCCAGTTCTGGCAACTTCATTCTTAGAAATACAGTACTGTATACTTCGGGGGGGTTTTTTCTTTAAATATTTTTAGACTGTGGATAAGTGAATCAGCAGATACTGATCCAATAGATAAGAGGGTCCTGCTACATAGCTTAGGCTTTCTTCTTCTTGCTTAGAGGCCCCTTCATTAATTAAAGCTACATTCACCTGCCTCCATCACTATTCTGTATTTAATTTGCTGAACCGATGGGCGGATTTGAATCTCCTGCCTCCCCCTCCCTTCTCTCTACTCCGTTCACAGCTGATGCCAACATCATCCTTTCCATCGGCACGCTGTAGCTCCTGAAAAAAAGCACAGCATCCCTTCAAAGAAAAAAAAAAAAGCCAGTCTGGAGAGACAAAGAAATGGGAAGACACGATGCTGGATCCCAAAATCAGTAGCTAAAGCTGGTTTTGGTTTCTAACAGTTCTTTTTACCTGTTCCATAACTTCAGGTGCCATCCAACAAGGAGTGCCCACAAAGGTTTTTCTCACTTTGTTCCGGGTAATGTCACCACCAGTAGCTAAAAAAGCACTAACACCGAAGTCTGAAACACCAAAAATAAATGGAAGTGTTAGGACAACTTTCTGAACCTTATTCTACAGTCTTCTGCCACTGGCGTTTCGCTACAGGTCTTTCTCCTGACATTTCTTGGGTATGATCATGGAGAATCCCTCTTTTTATTTTTTTATTCATTTTCAGTGGGAATAGGAATTGGGATACGGGTACAGGGGGTAGGGGAGGAATAGGTAACACCAAAAATAAATGGAAGTGTTAGGACAACTTTCTGAACCTTATTCTACAGTCTTCTGCCACTGGCGTTTCGCTACAGGTCTTTCTCCTGACATTTCTTGGGTATGATCATGGAGAATCCCTCTTTTTATTTTTTTATTCATTTTCAGTGGGAATAGGAATTGGGATAGGGGTACAGGGGGTAGGGGAGGAATAGGTTAGGATCGGGAAGGGGTAACATTCCAGAGAGAGAAAGAGCATGCTTACATCCACTTACACAATGATGCTAAAAAGGAAGAAACAGTTTAGCATTTTTTACCAGAGCATCTAGAGTTACTAATCTCTCCATTCCCTTGGACCTTCACATTCTTCTTTTATCTATACAGTGGTGCCTCGCTTTACGATTGCCTCACACTGCAATGAATCCACTTAACGACAATATTTTCCCTTAAGCAAATGTAAACAAGCAACAGAATTCTGACCAATAACTGTAATACAGTCGTGCCCCACTTAACGATTACCCCGCATTACGACAAATCCGCTTCATGACGATGTTTTTACGATCGCAATTGTGATCGCAAAACAATGGTCTAAATGGGGGAATTTCGCTTTGCGATGATCGGTTCCCTGCTTCGACGTTTTTAGAACAGCTGATCGACGGTTTCAAAATGGCCAGCGGGTAATTAAAATGGCTCCCCGCTGTGTTTAGGGACAGATTCCCCGCTATACAGGCAGCGAAAATGACCACCGTATGGAGGATCTTTGCTGGACGGTGAGTTTTTACCCCATTGGAACGCACTGAACAGGTTTGAATGTGTTTCAATGGATTTCCCCCCGCTTTACGATGTTTTCGCTTAACGGCGACGTTCCTGGAACGGATTATCGTCGTTAAGCGAGGCACCACTGTACTTTCCAATACATATTTTGAACCCAATTATAAAGTTGTTCCCAGTTTTTGAGTTCTTTTTGAAATGACCTTTCATTTAATGCTTCTGCTAGTACATCCTTCTCTTCCAGTATCTTTTCTAGCAACTCCTCAAGAAGAGGGCACTTCTTTCTTCCAAAGTTTCCCGTGTATATAGTATCCCTCTTTTTCAATATCAATGTTCGGTTTAAATAAATGCAGAAATAACATTTCTAGCCCTTATGAGTGAAGATAAGCCTGAAAGTACGTCAAAAGCTATGATTTCGAGTGGACGGCAACAGATTTTGAACAGCAGGCATTGTTGCATGCATGCAAGTGTGTAAAATAGTAGGGACTGCAGAATTTTGAGAAGTAAAAGTAATTTTGAAAGGCTGCATAGCATTTAGAGAAGCAAAGCAGCAATGCTAAGCTTGTGTGTGTACAGAATTTTAATTTAATTTTGAGCACAGCTCCTCAGGGATCTTGACACATTCCCCATTCTTAGCTTCTCAATCTGAATGCAAGCAATCCCAAAACCACCACCACCATCGTGCAGTCACAAGATTTTTGTGTTGTTACTTCTGCTCTGATTATGCACAGATTTGTGAAGCCCCTATTGTTTGCCGGAACAAAAACAAACAGGAAAAAAAATCAGATATCTTCCTCTAAACAATTCTGCCTTGCATGGAAAGCATGCATGTTAAGCAGCGACACATCGCAACAGTAGCATACTAATCAGCTTTTCACCTTCCCACCCACCCCCAGTCATTCAGAGTTGTCGTCTTCAACTTTTTGTGTTTTACAGTCCATTCACTTTGCCAAAGAATCAAGACCTTAAAAAAAACCTGAGCATGTGTAGCCTTCATAAAAGAAGACTTGAAGGGAGACATTATAGCATTTTTCAAATACTTGAAAGGTAGTCAAAACAGAGGAAGGGCAGGATCAGTTTTTGATCACCCCAGAGTACAGGACACGTGATAATAGGCTGAAGCTAAAGGAAGTCAGGTTTAGGCTGAATATCAGGAAAAAAACTTCCTGTTAGAGCAGTACAACAATGGAACCAGTTAACTCGGGAGTGTTCCAGTGCAGGAGAAAACCGGACCACCATCTGCCAGATCTGGCTTGGATTTGGATTCCTGCCTTGAGCAGGTGGTTGGACTTCATGGCCTTACAGGCCCCTTCCAACATCATCATTCTATGATTCTAAATATTTTCTCATTGGTGAGAATTCAATCCGAGCTCTCCCTGTATCTTGTCTAACTACTGGCCCTTGTAAAAACTTGGAACAACAAATCTCACATGTTAACTGAATTATATTACAAAGCACTCACGTCTTCCCTGAAATCTATTGCCTGTCAATGCATTTGATACGGTATCCTGACCCCTCCCCTCAATTCAACTGCTGTATCCTATATAATTTCCAGCTTTAGTACATCCATCCATCCATCTTTCTTCCATCCTTCCTTCACTCCCCCCCTCGCCCTTTCTCTTTCCTTCCTTCTGTGTTGGGGTGGGTGGGAGCAATGAGAACTGTGTAAAACATTTCAAAAGTAATACAGATTTAATTAAAGCTTTAACATGACTGTCTTTATCTTTTAATATGGAATTTCACTTCCCACCCCACAACTGCAATGTCTTTCCAGAGGGATATTTTGGTCAATGGTTGAAAGATTCATGACAGGGTAGAGCAGAATTTACCATGACAGATGATTAGTAGGCAATATTATTTTTTAATTCCCCCCCCCCAACACACATAGAAGAAACTCCCTAGAAACAGAAAGGTGGCATGTGGCGGAGAATAAGTCCAGCAGGAATCTTTACATGTTAGGCTGTTTTTCTGACAATTTCTCAGGGCAGGGAAATTAGATTTCCGCCAGCTGTAGAGATGTTGCCCCCTGCTACCCACGCCTTTGGCGGCATATATCGATCAAACCCATGGTTAGAAATAGAGGGGGAAAAACAGGGAGAGAAACAGTTGGCATTTTGGCCAACAACTGATGCACAACAAACACTTCTGTATGTGAGGAAATAGAAGGAAAATGGGACTTGTAGTTATGTAAAGATGACGTCCGTTAGGTTCTGTGTAAGATGATTTAAAAAGCACTGAAATATTCTCATGAGATTGCCGTGCAGAATACGCTCTGCCTGGCACCAAGATAAGAAGCAAGGCCGAAGAGACCGGGAGAAGCCGAAACATCACATACCCCTTAATTGGCAAGACACTGTGCATTTGCTACTCCCTCGTTAATATCTTTTTAAAGCATCTGGTTATAAGAACCAGTTACACTGGCATGATGGATCTCCAGAGATCTGTCTTTCCAAGGAAAACTAACGTTAAAACAGGAGCCCTCCCCGCTGCTCCAAGAGGGAAGAGCTCAAAACAGGATGGCAGACATACATGGTATTCCACAGAGTCCTTTATGGGATGGCCCTTGAATGCAAATCTCCCCCCCCACACACAAGATCCTGGTTATTTTTAGCATACATGAGGACTAGAAACCTGTTGTTATAATGCAAAAAAATGGAAAACCTAGGATCTCAAAATCCTCCCTAAGCAATATTAGATGCATAAGTTCATCTATCGCATCTGCTGCTGAGATTTTTCAGAAGTTTATTTGCAATTCCACCCTTTCCATCGTTCAGGAGATGATTCATTAAAAGGATCTTCTCCGCAGTTAAGGATTTTACAGGCAAAGCTGTCAGTCCAACGCTTCCCACAGAACAGGCTCGTAAAATAATAAATTATAAGAGGAATATTTTTACAGAAAGCAAATTAAGTTACTTCTCTCTGAAATGTGGGCTTGCCTTGAAGGCAACACCTCCTTCACTGCAGAAGAGCTTCCTAATATTTACTCTTTCAAGCTGTCAAAATATAAAATCACTCGACAGCCTGAGTAATCCACATTTTTTCAAGAGCAGAAAGCGTACAAAGTATTAGTTTCAAAAGCTGGAGAGCGTCTGACACAGTCAATCATCTCTGTGATGAATCCTATTTCCACACACACCAAACATCCACAGAAAGATCATACTAGCATGTTGAAAGCTAGTAGATCAGGGATTGAAACCTAGACAATTGGTAGTTTTCTACGTGCAGGCCATATTGGTCCAAAGAGTTCTGGCTTAAAATTTGCAAGTGGTATGCTCAATTGCTCTCATTAAAGTGGCAAATGGATCAAAGCTTAGCGTTACTCCTGAACTATGATTCTTAGTTCTCCTGTTCCTCTAACAAGCCATGGTTTGCCATGTGTTTGGAATTCATGGTCTGTCTGGAATGGACAACCGAGGAGGAGGTGGCTTTCATGTATCCTTGTGCAAAGAGTGTTCTTGCCGATGAGGAGCAAACAGGTGTGATTAGACAGGATGCACCAACAACATGCTCACAAAAGTAAGGGAGGAGCCTCTGCAAGTGTAAACAGACTATGCTCACATGGTGTGTGTGTGGTGTGTGTGCTGTGTGTATGTGTGTGTGTTTGTGTGTGTGTGTGTGTGTGTGTGTGTGTGTGAGAGAGAGAGAGAGAGAGAGAGATTCAAACATTCAGCTTTTCCAAATCAACCTGTGCTCCAGCTGCTCCTTTAGGTCATTTGCACATTTTGCACCCCCACAATTTTTTTGAAATAGGTTTTTTTGGAAAAAAAATTGTTGCTCTCATATTGGATTTCTCATTTCTCAGCACTGCTTAAGGTGCCATCCTGTCTTTATCTTTTCCAACTTTTTATTTTTATTTTGTTTTCACCTATAGGCTTTGCACAAACTAACCCCGCCACCCCTTCTACGACGACGCACTGAAAGACGGAAACCTGATTCCTTGACACAGGCAAATATCAAGAAATTGCAGCCGTAACAGTTAACTTCAACAAAAGAGAACAGAGAGGGAGGGAGAGAGAAAAAGGTTGGTTCACAGGCATTATGGAAGATTTTTTTTTCTTTTTGGCAACTCCCACCACCCCATTTTAAGCTTCTTTGGCTCTCTTCCAAGGGCATCTCCCTTTTGCACTTCATTCACAAGACTGCATGCTTTTTATTCTCTCAGTCACGGTGTGAAAACGAGATGCCCTTGAAAGAAATCCAAAAATCCACTCAAAGGCCTCTTGTGGGAGTTGCATATGTAAAAGCAATCCTCCGTAGGACTTGTGGGGATTTGCTTCTAGGTCTTCTCATCCTGAACCATCTATCTGGCTTAACCCCGTTCTTCCTTTGACAGGCAGGAATCCTCCAAGGCCTCGGGCAGAGACGGCTTTTCCCGTTCTGCCACGAGACCCTCTTCCACGCAAAACCACTCAATCAAATCTCAAGCTTCGCTCTCTTTCACTTGGGTCAGGAAACCAAAGACAGCCCTTATCCCTACTGGAAAATTTCAGCGATACTGGCAGACCCACCATTTCTATCTCAGTGGTCACATAAGTTAGAGATCAACTGAAAAAAAGAGAAAACAGGAGGACACTGAATGCCGTTCTTAATTCTCAATGCTGTGGTTCTGCCTGCCATGGGGGGGGGGCACTCACAGAACAGGTTAATCTAATACATGAAAAGATCTTTAATAGGTTTCCGGTTTCTCTATAAACAATATGAATGGGATAACTGGCTATCTCACATACTGTAAATGTACACAGGTAAAAGAGAGTCATTTGCTCAAACAGAAAGTCCCCCCCCCTTCCTGGAGTGTGAACAATGATTTCCTGTCAAAGCATCGTTAAGGACTCAGAAGCTTCCTGGAAAATGGAAGCCTCCATGCCTGGGCAGCCGTTTTGAAATTTAGATGATTTTGCACAGCTAAGTGATTCTGGAAGAGGATGAAACGAAAAGGCCATGACATCTTAATTTATACTGCAGGCATTGCACAAGGATGGTGAATGGACAAACCTCTGCATATTAAACATGTGCGCACACACAAAGCCTTCTATTCACAAGAATACTTGAAAGGGCAATAAATGCAATCATGGAATGACCAGACACTGGCCATCAAGTAGTTATCAGTGACTAGGTTCATAAATCAAAGGCATCCTCAGGACTCTTCTTATAGGAGAATGTAGACTTTCAGATAGCCTGTTCCCAAGTAATACAGGACTTACGGATCATGTCCAGTACTTTGACCTGGAACCACAAACAAGACTGGGACCCAGCAAAAGTATCACGACAAGACACAAGTCTCCTGTTTCTTACAACCTGGCTGAAGTTAACATACATACATACTTTATCGTTACAGCATCATTATGTTTTTAAGCCATACATAAAACAAAATTGAATGCAGAGCTTCACGTACTGACATAGACTGCAAAAAGCCAAATCAAATAAACAAAAAGCAATAAAACTACAAATATAACAATGTAAAACCAATGTCTAAGGGTTTGGCTATCTATTCTGGCTACTATGGCATGTCGCCCAAAATTTCGCTACCAGTTCTGTAGTAGTCTGATTTCGATCAATTAACAATTGGTTACAGTAGTCCGAGTCAGATTGTCATGTCTTTTAAGAGAGATGTAATATATTTTCCTCGAATCTTGTTATGCCTGTTACATCTCAGCATCATATGCTCAATAGATTCTATTTCATCAGATCTACAAAGGCAGAATCTCTGGCTGTAGTTAACCATCTGGCGTTCACTTTGAGACCTGCCAAACACTTTTCAGAGGTAAAACATGTTGCAATGGTCAAGACAGGAGACAGCTGAAGCATAGACTCCTCTTGATCTCTCCAGGAATGGGCACATTCTCGGCCCTACTGAAATGCGTGCACATGGGTTTAAGTCTGGATCTAGACTGAACGCACACAGCGAGTGACCACATGGCAAATATTCACCTGCAATTTGGACTGAGCCATCTTCTCCCAGAAGAATGTTCCCAGCTTTCACATCCCTGAAAAGAAGAGACAGACAAAAAGATATTCAAAGATAAGTTTGAGATGGACACCCTTCCCTTCTTTCTTATCAGCTCCAGCTACAAGAGCAGAAACAAAAGTGTAAACATTGCCAAGTTCAAGGCTGAGTGTTACAGAAAACCATGGAGATGAAACAGTTATGTCAGACGCATGGAGGTAAAAACATAAACCCCGTACATTTAAGGTTTGGGAAGGGCGTATTTTGAATTCTGATGGAAACCGGGGAAGGAGCAGTTCAATGCATTATCAGAAGGTAGCCATTATTATTATTTTATTCATTATTTATTTAATTTATACCCCGCCTATCTGGTCGGTGAGGACCACTCTAGGCGGCTAACAACAATAAAATACAATAACAATATAAATAAGCAATTCTAATTAGTAAAAACACTAAAATACATTACATAGAGTGCAATATTATTATTGCCATGACACACGGTGCTTTTTTCCATCTATCAATCTGCAGGAAAATCTGAATGTGTCTCTAGAAGCCGTTCTGGAATGGACAAAGGCAAGAAAGCCAAAACTTAATACAGGTAAGACTGAGGTCCTGTAGCAGCAAGAATACTAACCTGGTCATGCCCTGACTGCACGGATGCATCAAGACTGCCCTGTTCTAAAGGCACCTTATGTTGTGTTGCAATGAAAGATGGAGCTCAAACTTTAGCCACTCCTGCGGTGGTTCCGAAACATTTTGGACTCGTGGCTAGCTTGATTTACTGACCGCTGGCCATGGCTTCCTTTGCAGTTATATGCTCTATGCTGTGTTGCTTTTAAAGGTGGTGCTCAAACATTAGCCCCTAATGAATGAAGCTGACCAGTCTGTTGTGAGACCTATGTCACATTTATTTTGTGCAATGTATGTTTTTCTGGGCCCAGTTTAAAGTGTGGGTGGCTGTCTTTGAAACTTAAATCCGATATTGGTAGCGCCCATGCCCTTTTACATATCTTTGAACAAGTCAACCTTCTTTTTTTCTTTGCCTTTCCCCCAAACCAAACCATTTATTTCAGGCTCAAAAGAAGAACCTTTATGTGTAGGGGTGAATTCTCCCCCAAAAGTTGAGGGCTCCCCAAACCACCTTAATTGTAGAACTAATACCCAACCCCAACAGCTTATGAGGCACAATGCTAAATGAGGGTTCGGGGGGGGGGGCAGACTGGTGCTTAGGAATCATGGCCAGGCTGCATAATCTCCTTCCTCACCCTAAATACTGTGGTTATTTGAAGAACAGCCTACAGCTGTACAAAACTGACCAGGCTCCAAAACCTCCCCCCATACAGGTTCCCATTAAAATCTTCCAGGCTGTCAGGCACAAGATACACGGTCTTTTCAGTGGTGGCTCCCCTCCCTGTAAAACTCCCTTGCACAGAATGTGTGTTCGACTGCCACTACTGCATTGGTAACGCCACTTCTGTTTTAACTTTAACACGGTTGCTACTCTAGTATCGTTACTGTCATTTAACCTGGTTCTCGAATTATTGCATGGCTTAGAGGAGAGCATTTAACCCCTCCATCCCTCCATCCCTTATTGCTGCTTCTTTTGCATGAGGGATGTGGTGGAGTGAGGGACGTGGTGGCGCTGCGGAGCATTGTTACTGTCATTCAACCTGGTTCTCGAATTATTGCATGGCTTAGAGGAGAGCATTTAACCCCTCCATCCCTTATTGCTGCTTACTTTGCATGAGCAGAGGGAGAATCCCCAGAGGAAAGGTTTCCACTTACCTCTGGGCTATCTACTCAAGCAAGAACCCACAGTCTCGCTGACGTACTATGTTAGATAGCTCTTGCAAACAGTTTATGCTTCTCAGTTTAAGCCTCAGGACGACTTTGGCTCTGAATGGTGGCATTAAAAATATGTGAACCTATATAAATAAAACAACATTGCCTTATACTCTGTGTAGACACTGAGCTACTTAATTGCTACTTCTACCTCAATATTGTTTCCTCTTGACTAGAAACATCTCTCCCTCTCTGCTATTGTGTTATTATTTCTGTGGCCTGACAGCATTTTTTTTCCCCATTAGTTTAAGTCTTGGCTTTGACTAACTTGGATCCTAAGCAGACGAATGCCTCCTCTTCTCCCACAGGTTTATAGATACATTTCGGATGGAAGAAAAACCAACAGGCTTTTCAAACCTGACAACAAACGCTAATTGCTTGCACATGAAATGAAGCAAGCCACCCTCAAAAGGGGCTTTTAAAAAGCACCAGGTTTGTCCAATATGATACAGAAGGAAACCTCATTGTATCTTTTGTCTGGTGGCCATCTATTCATGTCTACCAAGTGCCAGAGAGTAGCAAAAGCTTTTGTCCTCTGAATAATGTCTCTGTTTGTTTTCTAGGTTGTTTCATAACTGAATAGGGGAGGGAGGTCCTGGTTGCACTCCAGAATGAAAGGGAATTTCCACTGTAAGCTTCTTAGCAGAGGATACAGTCCAGTCCAAAGAACTCGCCGGACACTCCACGTCCACCACAAAACATCAGGAGCCAAATACATTGTAACAACTTTAGGATGCATTCCTTGCAAAGCCATCTCCCCTGTCATTCTGTGGACTCAGTGTTTGTCTAATACATCAGTTCATGAGGATACAAAACTGTCTCCGTGAAAGTTCAGGAACATCAGTTCCCAAAGTAGATCTGACTAAGTGGTGACACGGAAAGAACGTCATCCAAACATAACAATGGGTCCGAAGTAAACACCCTAGGAAAACCCTGGAGATGATACCAGAAGACAACAAAAGAAAACAGACGACGTACAAAAATATATCAAATAATAAAGCAACAAAAACAAAGGACAACTCACCTACCCACACAATGTTAGGTTACATAGTATCAACTCAAGGAACAAAATTAATTTGTGCACCCACCAGCAGCACCAATAAAGATATATTCCCTTCACAATCCAATATTTATGATACCTCATCCCTCTTCCAAAATGGCATTACCTCGTTTGGGTAATTAGCCTTTCCCTTTCACTAATACAAAGTCCAAAAATCTTGTCATACGGGGGGGGGGGAGATTAATTTTTCTTTAACAAACCCTTTTTGTGTTTTACTATAGGTCCTCTCCTCTATCTGAAGGAGGCTTGGGTGTAAGAAAATATGTCTCTATAAATTACAGGGGACCAGGATGGACTGGGACCTCTGAATGGATTTTGGTTTTATCAGTTCCAATATCATTCTGGGCTGGCCAACCCTATCAAGGATAGGGGTAGGAAGCAGGGCGTTTCAGGGGTCCCCCTCCCACCTCGCAGGTGAATTCCATAAAGGGAGTTGGGGGAGGCATCTACTTTACTCAAAAGACAGTGGTTCTTTACTCTGGGGAAGGGGGGAACCAAGACCCCTCTGAGAATCTGATGAAAACTATGCAGAAAAGTGCACAAAACAAAATTTTGCACACCATTTGTTTTATGCATAGAGAAGAGAGAGAAAAAAGAAGCATACCAGGTTCATGGATTTCATGGAAATAATCCATGGATCCCCTAGGGGGTCTATGGATCACAGCAGTAATTTCTGCTCTAGGCCATTCGTCCTATAGTATGTCACCAGGTTCTACTTTACCTCCATGTTTTGGTTCAGCATCTTCTGCTGGGAGAAGGTGTCTCCTTTTTGCATGTCACCAGATGAAATACTGGACATTTTGAACAGATGCCTGGAGTTAACAATGGATGGAAATCGAACTTATATATTAAACCATACTCTGGTAAGTTGGATGTATTGACGGTGGGTGAAGGTAGTCATGGAGACAGCATCTACAGGGGGTCAACAATTTGTGGCACTACAGTTATTACTGGCCTGACTCCCATCTTTCCTCACTATTGGCTTTGCGGGCTGACAACAGGTGCAGCCTAACAACATCTGGAAGGCTCCACGTTGCCCAACACTGTTGTACCTGTACAGGCTGTATTCAAACCCACCCACTCAGTAAGCAAGCATGTTTGCAGCTTGGGGATGTTCCTGGATCCAACACTGTTGCTGAATACACCAGAGGGAGTTTCCCCCACTCATTCCAGAAGTTTCCTTGTCCCTGCCAAGAAATGATCTCACTATGGTGTTATCCATGCCTTAGTAACATCCAGACTTGATTAATGTGATGCATTACACATATGGCTGTAGTGCAAAAATCTCTGGACACTTTAGCTGACTCACAACACAGCAGCTATGCTCATGCTTTGACCACATTATACCCTATTAAAGAAACTTTTGTTGGCTCCAGATCAGTTTCTAATAGCTATTCAAGGTCACTGCTTTGACCTTGAGTCCTAAACATGGGGTGAAGAACACAAGGCCCTACAGATGTTCCTAGACTGTAACTCCCACCAACTCTAGCCAGCATTATCATGGGTGAAGAATGATGGGTTCTTTAGTCTGACAAAACCCAGAGGACTATATGTCCTTCCTCCCTGCCTTGTACAGTCTTAACCTGGCATAGGTGAAGGATGTTTATTTATCCAGATGTTCACAAACAACCTGAACAACCAAGATAACTTTCAGAGGTCCTACTCCAGATGACCTTGAAGATAAGCATCTGGTGGAAACGCGGCTTTTTGTGTTTCAAGCTTATGGAAGTTCCAACCAAATAAGGATTCAATTGCAACTTTCCTTGGTTTCTTGTCAGGTCTCCTACAAAGTTATTTTCTTTGGACAAAAGCAAGCATTAAGAGAAACCCATTTCAAGAAGGAGATATCTTTCAAGTAGTGAAAAGGGTACAACTGTGAAAACCCGTTCAGATACAGAGGGGCACCATCTGTTCTGAGTAATCTCAGAATGAAGACACATAATAATGGCCTCAAGTTACAGGAAGCCAGATTTAGGATGAGTATCAGGAAAAAAACTTCCTAACTGTTAGAGCAGTATGACAAGGGAACCAACTGCCTCGGGAGGTGATGAGTGCTCTAACACTGGGGGCATTCAAGCAAAAATTAGACCACCATCAGTCAGATTTGACTTGATTTGGATTCCTGCCGTGAGCAGGAG